GGGGGCAGGTTGGTCATCAAAGTGTCCTTTGGGCAGGAGGTCGGCCTGGCCTTGGTGGGGTTCAATTAGCATGCCAGTGTGGCTGAGCAGTCAGCCATGCTCACATCTCCACTGGAGAGACATCCTCATGGGCCTTTCTGTCGGCATTTTGGCTTTTGTGTGTGTTGAGTTGTGAGATCTGTTTGGATTGAACCAAAAGCCAGAGCTGTTGCCGGCCTACCGATTCCCACTCCCGGGGACCTACGCTCAGGAGAACTGCCCTGTGGGTGCCCAGGCTGCCATGCTGTGTGGAGCAAATGGACCCCTTCCTCCCACAGAGTGACTGCTGGAGCCAAACTGTGGACCTGGCAGTGAGCAGCCCAGTGCACCACCCGCCTGGCCACCAGCGCGCCCACAGTCTGCCTGGAAATCCCTGGTTCATTCCCGGTCTCTGGGATGTGGGTGGGCGGTGTTTCTACTGTTCAGGGTCCTACGAGGGCATTTCACTGACCCTAGTGGTCGGGTGGCCAAGGGCTAGAGTGACCCTGTTCACTGTGGGCCCCTGTGCCTGCAGGTCCTGTACCCATGGCGTCCACACTGCAAGACGGAGTGAAGGCGCTGCTGCCTGACCCCCCACAGGGGCCGCTCCAGGCCTACCGCGCACGAGCCTCCTTCTCCTGGAGGGACCTCCTGCTCTTCCTGGAGGGTGAGGAGCTGCTGCGCTTCAAGGTGGGTCTGGCCTCAGGGAGGAGGGCTGGGGTGTGTGTGTGTCCACGTTCCTGGTACTAGAGTCCCAAGGCTGTCAGCTGCAGACAGAATCAGCCCTGGTGTCTGTGTCAGTCTGGCAAGGATGCCTGTCGTCCAGGCTCCAAGGGATACCCTGGTCTGTCCGAGAGGGTGCCCGACTCCCCGGCTCCAAGGGAGACCCCCGTCTCTCAGAGAGGGTGCCTGGGCCTGAAGCTCACTGTTCATCCCCCCACCCAACTTTATACTCAAAGGGCCAGGTGATGTCATGCTTGACCAAGACCAGAGTGACATCATTCCTTCCAAGTCAGGAACTTCTCTGCTGAGGTTGCAGAGGGCTGGGTCAGGGAGAGGACACCCCCCACCCACCCCGGTGCAGGCTTTGGGACAGAGGCCCAGCATGGCAGACTGGGCCACCCGGTATAGGTGCCCTCACCGACCCCCACCTCCTGTCACCCTCTCCCCTGCCCCCCTCCT